CTCAGGGATCAAGGGTCCTGGGTGGGTTCCATCCAAAGACCGTGGGCTGGTGGTGGACGCTGCGGGTCAGCAGGAAAGGGAGCCCGGCCTGCCCACCCCGGTGACTGTACCCCGTTTGCAGGGCCTACCCGATCCAGCAGTACCCCAGTCGGACAAGAGCGGCYGCCGCCATCATGCACATGATCATGAACAACCTGGACCCCGCCGTGGCTCAGGTAGGGGCTGGGGACACACAGTGACCTTGTGTGCTTGGAATTTAAGTATCGACYCAKCAGACGCTGCCAGGCAAATGTCGGRGTCCCTGAACCCCCTCCCAGCTGTGACTCCATGACCTCAAGAGTCACACAAAGGATGCCTGTAATTTGGGGTAGTTTCGGGTTTCTTGGGTTTTTTGAGAGGCTGGCCTCCAACTTGCGATCCTCCTGCCTCGGCCTCCCGAGGAGCTGGGATTACACGCATGCCAGGGTCTTTCTTCTCCCCGTCTGCAGCCCCACGGGTTCTTCCCAGGCCTCTCTCCCACAATGCCTTGTGTTCTTTAGTATCCCCAGGAGCTGGTCACCTATGGAGGAAATGGACAAGTGTTCAGCAACTGGGCTCAGGTACGGTGGCCCTGTGGCCTCATCCCCACCCCAAACTAGAAAGAGTTTAGACCCCCGTGGCTCTGATCCCTAATGCCCAAGACTCCCACGCTGGACAGTATCTGGGGACTTTTCAGCTCTAAGAATGGGCAAGAGCCGGGCACCAGTGGCGCACACCGGTCATCCCAGGGGCTTGGGAGGCTGAGGCAGGAGGACCGCAAGTTGGAGGCCGGCCTCCGCCAAAGCGAGGCCGTGAGCCACTCAAGGAGGCCCTGTCTCTCAATAAAATACAAAATAGGGCTGGGGATGGGGCTTGGTGGTTAAGCACCCCTGAATTCAATCCCGGTACCCCAAAATCAAGARCAGGCAGCAGAAATATTTTGGAGGCCCCAGGAGTCCCTGGAGTAAAATAGAAACCTGGAGGTCAGGGCCACTGCCATGTGGCTTGGGGACCCGGCGTGGGGTAGGTACCCACGGACACTGACACTCGTATTCTTCTCCCAGTTCTGGCTGACCATGTCCTACTTGTCCAAGATGACAGAGGATCAAACGCTGGTCATGTACAGCGGACACCCTCTGGGCCTCTTCCCCAGCAGCCCCGGAGCCCCGCGGCTGGTCATCACCAACGGCATGGTGGGTTCCAGAAGAGGGGTCCTGGAGGCAGASAGGAGGGCCCGGTGCCCCGGCCACCACGCGGGCACCGTTTCTGAGAGCTCTCTCCTGTGTCCCCTGCCCGTGGGTCCTCCAGTGTCTGTTCCCACTCTCTGTTCCAGGTCATCCCCAACTATTCCTCCAGGAGCGAGTATGAGAAGCTCTTTGCCCTGGGAGTCACCATGTAAGTTTCASTTTATTCCTGTGACATTTTGTCCCCCCACGAGCCAGACCTTCCTCTGAAAATCATTTTTTCCCAGCAGTTGAGGAGGCTGAGGGAGGAGGATCGCAAGGTGGAGGCCAGCCTCAGCCAAAGCGAGGCCCTGAGCCACTCAGCGAGACCCTGTCTCTCAATAAAATAGAAGAAGGGCTGGGGACGGGGCTCAGGGGTGAAGCACCACTGGGTTCCATCCCTGGAACCAAAAAAAAAAAATTGATGTGATAACCTCGTACAGACTTGTCCCTTGTCATCATCCCCTGAATGAAACCAATGTCGTGAATCGTTGTCACGGGGAAACCTCTCTCCCGCCCTCTGTCCTTCCCCAGTCAACSGTGGCTCCAGGGGGACCACTGCAGGCTGCCCCTGCACCTTGACCTTCTGCCCTTGGCAGGACGTCAGGGACRCTGTACCTTCCAGGAAATCTGGGTCTCGAGTGTCCTTCTGTCACCCGTCCCAGGACATCATGATCCACTCACCCTCTCGCCTCCTGGTGGTGGGTCATAAATAATGCCACGTGACCATCCT